ACCCCTTTTCATTACCTGAACATCTATAGCTGCCAATTTTTCTGCTGCTGTTCCCATTAAGCTTTTATAGAATAGGACAAATTCATCTTGAATCTCTTGAGGTTCTGACAGTTTCCTTCCATCTAGTGACATCAAACTCCTTATATTCTTTTTCTGACTTCTCTCTTTTATCACTGAGCTGAAATATTTGTTATTTGCATCCCCCAACTTAATCCACTTTGCTCTAGCTTTTTGTCTAAGAGCACTTTCTTCAATCAAGGACCACTTTTCAAGTTTTAGTAAGAGTTCTTTTTCTTTAGCAACTAACTCATACCTTGCTTGATGATACAGCTGATATTGAATATCACCCAACTCATTTCTAGCTTCCTCTATCTGGTTACTGATATATTTGAACTCTTTCCTATTCAGCTGCTTCAGTACAGGTTGGAGAGCTTTCAACTTATTCCACACCTTTTCCATTGCATCCCTATCTTTCTCCTTCTTCCATACTTTCTCCACCAGGCCTAAGAATGATTCATGTTCTACCCATATATTGAAGAATTTAAAACTTGCCCTTACATGTTGATTGCTTTGATGAAGAACCAGTTGCATTGTGCTATGATCTGATACTCCTGGATTGCCATATTCTAATATGACATGTCCCCATTTATCCATCCATTCATCATTCCCAAAGGCTCTATCAATCCTGCTTAAAACTCTGGTATTACCTATCTGCTTATTCCTCCAAGTATAGTAACTTCCTTTCCACTGTAATTCATGAATGCCCATAGTTTTAACACAGTCTGCAAAATCCCTTATCTCACTTTCATTAACAGGAGCTCCAGCTTGTCTATCTTGTGGGGATAAAACAGCATTAAAGTCTCCAATTATGAGCCAAGGAGATATCACATTTTGAGCCATCTTATTCAAATCAGTCCATAAACTCTTCCTTTGCTCTATAGTATTAAAACCATATATAACTGAGAAATTAAACTGAAATCCTTTGCTTCTTTCCTTTACTTGGCAATGTATCAACTGAGCTGATCTATTTATTTGCTGAACATCATACCAGCTATCATCCCATATAATCCAAATTCTCCCATTTGCAGCATCATTATAATTGTGCATCCTTTTCCAACCTGGTGCAATCCCATTCATTGTTGTAGTTGCATTATCCTCTTTCACCCTTGTTTCAATTAGCCCTGCTAGAGACACTTTATTCAGTTGTAAGAACAACTTTATTTCTTTTTGTTTGTACCTCTTATTCATTCCCCTCACATTCCAAAAACTCCACTTCATTAGCAAGATTTTGATGTTCCACCCCTATCCACAGGAAGTGAAACCAACTTGCTATTCTTGAGGCTCTCAAAACCATTTCTCAGAGGTATAGCTGATAACAATGGGAAGTTAGATATACTAAAGTCCAGCTGTTTACCTCCATTATAAGGCCTTAAGTTTATCTCAGGTGTTTGCTTGATTTCCTGACCACTCCTTTGCTCACTCCCTTTCTTCTCCTCTTGCTCAAGATTGACTTCATCCTCTTTAGTCTCCAGTATATGTTTAGTCTCCATTATCTTCTCATGTTGTTGTATAGGACCTTTGTATTGCCATGTCTGTGTAACTTTTTTCCCTGGTCTGTTCTTCTTTGGTTGCTCCACCTTAGTAGTTGTTTGACATTGATGACCAATCTTCTGGCACTTTTCACAGTACACAGGCTTCCACTCCATCACAATATCTTGCATAAACATTCTACCATTAGGATCCATTACTGCAATCTTCTGAGAAATAGGCTTGGTAACATTTACTTCAATGAGCATTCTAGCATAGGATATCCTTGACTGTTTTGTACTACATTCATCAGCAAATATTGGAACACCTATGGCACTAGCAATTCGACTTAGGGATCCTGCTCCCCAACAATTTAAAGGCAACTTAGGCAAGTTTACCCAAAGAGGTATTTCAGTTAAAAACTCAGCTCCAAAATCAAATTCTGGACTCCATTGCTTCAAAATGATAGGCCTATTACTTATTGAATAAGGTCCTGAATATAGAACTTCATTCATATCACTCAGGCTCCTAAACTTGATTATGTAGTATCCTTCCTCATGAAGAAATACCTCAGGCTTATCAACCTTTGACCAGTTCATCTGTATATATCTGTTCATAATGTTGTATCCAGGACATTCTCCAATTACATAGGCTATCAGGGCACTCTTCCACTTTTCCTCTTCAATCTGTACTTCTTTCTCTTCTAGCTGCACCATTGTTTGTCCATTAAGAACTTGTATAGGAATATAGGTCAAGTTCATCCCATTGATAGCTGCACGATTATTTTTGAACATGTTGATCCATGGCTCCTTACTTTTCTCCTCTGCTAGATCACCCTACTTAGTATCAAGCTCACAAACTGTTCCATTATCTTCCTCCTTATTCTCGATTTCATTATGCTCTAGATCTGGGCTTTCATATTCCTCTTCCTTCTCCAGTGAGTCATTTACATCCAGCTTCCTTGAACCTGTAGAACCCACTGATACTCCATCTTCAAGCTTACCTTTCTCATTGTGTGATTTTTCCTGCGTGTGTAGCTCAAATGGTTCCACCCGAGCTCCAACTGAGCTACCAACAGTCAGTATAGCTGTTTTCCGGCCTCGTCCACGCCCTCTTCCTCTACCCCTCGCCATTTTTCTCATGCACAGCGCACGTTAATTAAACCTGCGCCGAGAGCATTTGGAAGGGATGTACGGGTCATTATTATTTCTTTTATTACTATTATTATTATTATTATTACTATTATTATTATTATTATTACTATTATTATTATTATTATTACTATTATTATTACTATTATTATTATTATTATTATTATTATTATTACTATTATTATTACTATTATTATTATTATTATTATTGTTGTTGTTATTATTATTATTATTATTACTATTATTATTATTATTATTACTATTATTATTATTATTACTATTATTATTATTATTATTATTATTATTATTATTACTATTATTATTACTATTCTTATTATTATTATTATTATTATTATTATTATTAGTATTATTATTATTATTATTATTATTATTGTTATTGTTATTATTATTATTATAATTATTATTATTATTATTATTACTATTATTATTATTATTACTATTATTATTATTATTACTATTATTATTATTATTATTATTAGTATTATTATAATTATTATTATTATTATTATTAGTAATATTATTATTACTATTATTATTAGTATTATTATTATTATAATTATTATTATTGTGGTTGTTATTATTATTATTATTGTTATTATTATTATTATTATTATTATTGTTAATATTATTATTATTATTATTATATTATTATTGTTATTATTATTATTATTACTATTATTATTGTTATTATTATTATTATTATTATTGTTGTTATTATTATTATTAATGTTGTTGTTGTTATTGTTGTTGTTGTTGTTGTTGT